GTTACTCTCCTGATGGTACAACATTAGCATCTGGTAGTAGGGATAACTCTATCCGTTTATGGGATGTTAAGACAGGATAATAAATCTTATCTTCAGATAATCGTTATCAAGATATTGTAGCTTAATTTTCATCTCACAACATTAACAACAACCTAATTCAAGAAAGTGGTATTTATTTTCTTCCTTATATAGTAAATTCTCCTGTTAATTACCTAGTCATATCAAATTAGCTTAAATTTCAATCTTAAGGTGCTTTAATTTTGAAAGGTGAATTTATTAATCAATTTGGTCGAGACTTGAGGACATTATTTAAACAAAGAGGAAGTTTCATTTTAGAGAACCAAATTGAATTTTATAAACGATGAAAATTGATTGATATTTATAATCATTTAATACATTAATATATTTCAAAAATGTGAAACAAACAAATACCGAGATCGAATTTATACATATTTGCTATGCTAAATTGAATAAAAAAATTTTATCAAACCCTCAGATAAAAAATTATTAATCAGGTTTAATACATCATCGATTTACTTATGGTCATACCTGCATAGTTTATTGATTCACAAACTTATGGGTGGTACCTACATAGTTTTTTGACTCACCAAATCCGGGGGTGGTACCTACATAGTTTTTTGGCTCACCAAATCCGGGGGTGGTACCTACTGCCCGAATATAGTAGGGTCCTCTACCCTACGGCCGGAATACGAATTTCTATCCGTTTATGGGATGTTAAGACAGGATAATAAAAAGCCAAATTAGATGGTCATTCTTCATATGTTTTAGTTTATTCAGTCAATTTCTCCCCTAATGGAAATACATTAGCATCTTGTAGTTCAGATAAGTCTATTCGTCTCTGGAATGTAAGAACATCAAAGGAAATAATTCAATCAGATAGTAACTATAAAGATTTGCTTGCCTAGTTCAACATATCTCTTCAAAATAGCTCCTTATTGCCAAATGGTATTAATTATTAATTATTATTTAGTTAATCCTGATCGTACAATACTTAGAATATGCTAGAATCCTATTTTAGAAGCATCAGGAACACTTATCTTAAAAGGACAATTTGTGAATTATTAAGGGATAGATTTAAAACCATTGTTTAAAACAAAAGGAAGTTTCTTTTTCGAAGACTTAAAACAAAAGCAAAAGTGAATTTGAATATTCATTAAAAACATTACAATTATATTTTAATCATTTTTTTATAGCTTTTTCAATTAATTGGTATTTTTGTTACTTTTAAAAATTTCTTAATATTGAGATGTTAGAAACAAAGGTTATTAATACAATACACTATTAAATTTATAATATAAACAGAGTAAACAAGTTTAGTCGTAATAATGATTATTAATAGTTTAGTAAAATTTAGTTTAGAAAAAGGTAATGACAATTAATAACAAAGATAAGAAGAAAGATACATTTTAAGAATTTAAAAAATAAAATTAAACTTACTAATAACTAAACTTTTGGATTGAATGATTTTTAAAATTACTATTTTCCATAACCTGTTATTTATTATTTTCAATTGATATTTAAATTATTAGATATAATAAAGGACTGAAAAGATATCTTAATCATCAATAAGTATTCTAACCCCTAATAAGATTTAGAGATCATGATTATATCCATCCCTAACAGTAATCTTAAATACGTTCTATCTGAATTACATCCAAAAAGAGCTACTTTCATTAATAATTTTGCATATAAGGAACAGTTATTAATTATTAAGATAATCCTTCCTCAAACTGATTTTTTTCACAAATTAATGAATATCTACACACCTATAATATCAGTCAAATAGAAATTACCATGTTAAAAAATTAACAAAATTGTTTTTCTCTATAACTTTGGGTTTAACTAAATTAGACAATAAATTTTTTGAATTAACTAAATTTATTTTATTATGTAAATGTAGATGTATTTTCTCTTAAAAAGTTTTGAAGTTACACCCTCATATACTAGTGAATTTAAAACCAAACTGGCAAGTTTCTTGTAAAAATTTGCTATAGAAGTAACCACTTTGTATTGATATTTTTGAACAATTATGATTTAGAATAAATAGAATACATTAACTCATAAATTCTCAATAATTAAAGTCATATATTAGTGTTTTGAATTATTTGTGTTATTTTTATTCTCTATTCATTAAGATTCCATAGTATAATTTACATCAGCCTTAAATCTTTGTGATATTGAATTTCTACCAAACAATAATTTGCAAGATACCTTTTTTTTTGATTTATAGTATAAAACTCAAAATAAAGTAATAGAAATTCAATATTATTTTTAAAAGAATATGAATTATAAATGATCTGTCTATCCTATCACAAGTGTTAGAGCTAAAGGAAATTGTGTGCTGAATGTATTGAGGAACATGGAGTGGATTTAAAATGCATGGTTTCAATAATAAAATTTTAAGATATGATGAGAAAGAAATTCGAAGACTCTAAGTTTAATGATTCATCTGAATTAGCAAAATAGAGGTTGAATTTTAAAACATTGCTTACATCAACTCAAAATAAGTTTAAAGTAATTTGGGATGGAATTGAAGAATCAATAAAACAGATATATGATTTCCTAGAGAAGGAAGAAAAATTCTATGAATTTGATTAAAAACAATGATAATCCTCTAGAATTGTCAAATACTGATTTAGAAAAATTGGTGTCAATTATTATTGGAAAAACATTAGATGATAGAAATGATTAGAAAAAATCTTATATGAAGCAGTTGGAAATGACGAAGAATTATTGGAAAGAAACTTAGACCTTTTGTGAAAAGTTCAATACAGAATTGAGAGGGATTATGTAATTCATAAAAAAGAAGGTAAATTATTCATGGGAAAACATAAAAGAAATAAAATAAGTTTACAACAGAAAGGAAGATTTGCATTAGGTATTGACATAGACAAAGCATTTTGATAGAGCCTACCTGAATGAGGTAATTGAGATGTTGAGAAATGAGAAAATAACGAATTGTTTAGAATTCTTTAAAGATAAAACTCAATTGAAATTTATCGATTCTATGATTTAAAATGTTAGTGAAATAGACTTTAATAAGAAGAATTATTCAACTGAGAATTCTGATTAAATTAGAAAGGGTTTAATAAAATAAATATCTTATGACTAGTAGATAATTGAATTTTTGAAATTCCTAGTACTTCTTACAGCCATTGACGAGAGATTTATCTAAAGCGGATCAAACTCACTCAATTTATTAGTAGAAATGAAAGTGGATTTGAGAGAATAAAGCTTTGAGAATATAAGGATTAGAGACACTTCTTTGGTTGGTGGAAATTTTGTAAGATGCAATTTCAATGGATCAGAATTTGATAATGTGGATATAAGTGGAATGAACTTGAATTAAGCTTAATTGTTCAATTGTAAATGGAACAATATTAAAATAAATAAATTAGAGGGTCATTCAAATTATGTTAGGTCTGTTTGTTTCTCTCCTGATGGTACTACATTAGCATCTGGTAGTT